CTTTTATACAGTTCTCTCCCTCATCTGTTTCAATGCCGTGTACATTATTTATCCCCTCTTAGTTTCCCTCAACCTCCATATCAGTCTTGTTCTATAACAGTTTTTGTCTTTTTGTGACTAAGATATTTCACTCAGCATAATGTCCTCCATGGTCACCCATTTTGTATAAAATATTTCATGAGTTCTTTGTTTTTCAATGGTGCATAATATTCCATTGTGTGAATATAGCAGAGATTCTCTATCCATTCGTCTGTTGATGGGCACTTGGACTGTTTCCAACTCTTTTCTATTGTGAACAAAGTGACAATAGACATGGGTGTGCATATATCTGCTTGAGTGGCAGTTTTGGTTTCTTCAGGATATATTCTCAGTAGTGGAATTACTGGTTCAAATTGTATTTCTACTTCCAACTTTTGGAGAAAGTGCCATACTGCCTTCCATAGTGGTTACACCATTTTACACTCCCACTAAGAGTGAAAAAGAATTCCAGTCTCTCCATAACCTCATTAACATTTGTTGCTTGCTGCTCTGTGAAATTTTGCTATTCTTACTGGAGTGAGAGAGTATTTCACAGTTGTTTTGGGGTTTAGGACTCTTATACATAGGGTCGCAAGTGACTTGTGGCACATAACAACAATAACCACAGACCAGAGCCACATGGTCATACTGTTTTTGGCAGATTATATAATTTAATATCTAATAGAGAAGGCAAAGCAAAACATTATAAAAAATATACAAAGAGCTGAAGTTAGAAAATGAAAGTGGGAGGAATTAATCATGGGGTTGTACAATTTGATGCATGGAGAGGTGAGGGAAATGGAAAGAATCTGTTCTCAAAAACAATATATTAGAATTTTGTAAATAAATTAGTACAAAATTTTTAAAAATAGATAAATAAAAACAAACACCCCCATCCCCCCCAAAAAATATGAAAGAATACACTTACACTTCCAAAAAAGCAAACAAGTCTGCCTTGGAGGAAGTGCAGCCAGGGTGCTCCTTAGATGCACAGAGGGTGAAACTTCATACTAGGGGCATGTTGTAAGGAGGACTGAGTCCTTGGAAAAAGAAATCATACTGGGAAATGTGGAGGACGAGTGAAAGAGAAAGATCCTCTGCATTAAGGATTGACACAGTAACTGTAACCATGATTACAGGTATGGTAGAGGTCATAAGGATTGAGCAGGATAGGGCAAGGTTCAGATCTATTGTTCAAAGAATTGCTAGGAGTTGTAGTCAACTTGATGGTACCCAGCAACACAACAAGGTTATCCTAAATTATCTTATTTTTAGATTTTTAAAAACTGTAAAACTTATTGACAATGATTTTCAGATTGTAAAATCTGTTGTCATTTTTTTCAAGGTCCTGTAAATTTGTAAGCCATATTAAATTATTTCCACTAGAAAGAATTTGTGGTTTTGAGGTAGCTGCTTCGCTGCAAGAGGAGGATGTGGTTTTTCATTCGGTCAGGTCTTTTCTTAACACTCCAAGGGTTATTTTGAAGTGTTGTTTTATTTTGAAGAGTTGTTTGGTCATATTCTTTGCAATTGTTATTAACTGATGTTTTTTTATTCTACATTTAATGGAGATTAATATCTCTCTCTCTCTCTCTCTCTCTCGCTCTCTCGTATGTTCACATCTAGCCATTTTCATTTTTTTCTTGCCATTTGAAATCGTTTTCAAGTAGTTTTCTGAGTTTTTCAATAATGATCAAATAATGATCATTTCACTTTTTTTAGTGCTTAACATCTCCAGTTTCTTTCTAGGGACTTCTAGCAATATGTTATGTAGGGAGTTGGGCCAATGGTTCTCAGAAGAAAGATGGACAAACTCCTCCTTTGTGCTTTACAAACTAGGACACCTTAGTCAGGAGTCAACAACGAGAGAAAAGTTCCTTCTAGTGAATAATTGTCTTAACTAGATTATCATATAAAATACTCCTGGCAATTGAAAAATCTTTGTCTTCCTGTTTTAGTGAGAATGCCTTCTTCTAGTAAATAAAGAAGCATTTTCTTATAACTGACAGAAGAGCTAAAACACAGAAACGGAGTGTATCAGGATAAAGAATTCTTACATATTTTTGTTCATTTCTTTTATTGGGATGCCAATATACACAATAAAACATTTGTCAATTCAACAATATCTAAATTGGTTATACAGTAGTATCGACTACATTCTTCAAGTTGCAATAATAATCATTGTCTTCCTTTTCCAAATTATTTCTATACCTTTCATAAAGGAACCACTGACTTTTAAGTGCACAAAGTAATGCAAGCATATAAGAAATATTTTCAAATATAGGTCAACATAGAATAAAGAGCAAAAGTTCCTGCTCTACATCACAGAGGCAAACAAGCTTAATTTTCAGTATAGATCAAATACTGAAATTCTGTAATTGTATATATAAGTGGATCCTGTTGTGCTGTAAATTTAACTACAACTCATAGTGACCCTATGAACAACAAACATCAGAACCTTGACCTATCCTGTGCCATCCTAAATATATAATAGTCATATTGTTGTTGGTATTGTTGTTGTTGTGTACCATCAAGTCAGAACTGACCCACAGCTGACCTTCCAGTGGGTTTTTTCAGAGGCAATTAATTGAATGGGAAGAGATTGCTCATCTTTCTTCTACAGAGCAACTGGTGGCCTTGAACAGTGTGCCTTCAGGATTGCAACGCAGTTTCTTGCCACTAGGCCATCAGAACTCATTATTTGCTGTTGTTATTGTTGCTGTTAATGTGTCCTATGTACAACAGCCTGAACCTTGCTCTATCTTAAGCCAATTTCATTGTCTCTGACACACCTACCCCCATTTCCCCAGTCACTGAGCCAGTCCAGCTCATCCAGGGTCTTCCTCACTTGCACTGTCCCTCCAACCTTCCAAGCATGGTGTCCCTCTCCAAAGACTGGTCCCTCCTTGCAATATGCCCAAAGTATGTCAGATTGAGCTTCCTTTATTCACTTAGCTATATTTGTGCAACTAATTGATGCTCCTTGGAAGCAATGATGGTAAAACATCATGTCACATACTTTGGGCATGTTGTCAGGAAGGGTCAGTCCTTGGAAAAAGACATGTTGCTGGGAAAGGTAGAGGGTCAGAGAAAGAAAGGAAGTCTCTATAAAAGAAGGATTGACACAATAACTCTAACGATGGGCTGGAGTATGCTGGAGGTCATGAGGATGACTCAAGATAAGGCTAGATTCAGATCTGTTGTTCCTAGGGTCACTATGAATATTGGTAAGCTTGAAGGTATCTAACAACAACAACAACACAGTTGTGCATCATAGCAGTTAAGGATAACATTGTGAATTCCAGTACACTTAATTGTGTTCATCCAGAACCTGAATATAGACCAAGAGACACTAAAACAGAACAAGGGATTACCATGTGGTTTAGAATCAGGGAAAACGTTCATCAGAACTGTATCCTTTTCCATACTTATAAGTTAAACCAAAAAATTCTAGAAGTTGGACTACATAAAGAAGAATGTGGTATCAGAATTGGAGCAAGACACATCAACTGTCTGCAGTATGTATATGACACAACCTTCCTTGCTGAAAGCAGCGAGGGCTTGAAGCACTGTTGAATATCAAACACTTGAATATCAAAGACCTTTAGTTCAAATTAAACTTTAAAATCAAGAAAGCAAAAGTCCTCACAACTGGACCAATAAGAAGCATCACAATTAAAGGAGAAAATATTGAAATTGTCAGGGGACTCTTTTTAATGGAGCCACAATCAATGTTCACAAAAAAAAATTAGATAAATCTGTTTGAAAATATTTAAAGTATTAAAAAGCAAAGTTGTCATATTAAGGAATAAAGTGTACCTTCCTAAATTAATAGTATTTTCAATTGCCTCATTGCATGTGAAAGTTGATAAAGAATGTTGAATAATAATTGATACCTTTGAAGTATGATGCTAGTGAAGAATATTGGCTATATATTTGTTACACTTCTTTGTCCAGCAGCAAAGTGCTGGGGATGAAATAAACTCCTCAAGACTTTCTCTTAGTCAAGAAGTAAGGAAAGAGGAACTCAGAGTTGAATATCCTCTTGGCCTGTACATCGTCATAGTTTTTATTTGAGAAGTTTTCATTACATAAGCAGTAAAATATGTTAACTTGTCTCCAAGATTATTTTTTTCACTCTTTCTTTTCTCATTTCATGATCTTCCCTGTTTCCATAATCACATCATTCTCCAAAACCAACATCAGCATGAGACTCAAGGTTTTTCATGGTCTATGACAGAGTGTTCTTTTTGCCCTGATTATTTAGACTGTTGTTATATGCCATTGAGTCACTTGTGACTCATAATGATCTATGTACAACAGCCCTAAACCCTGCTCTCTCCTATGCCAATCTCATTGTCTCTGACACACTTACCCCATTACCCCAGCCATTGAATCAATCCATCTCATCAAGAGTCTTCCTCTCCTGCACTGTCCCTCCAACCTCCCAAGCATAACGTCCCTCCAAGGACTGGTCCCTCCTTGCAACATGGCCAAACTATGTCAGATGAAGCTTCAGAATCTTTGCCTTTAAGGAGTAGGCTGGTCTCACCCTCTCCAGGACAAATTGTTTGCTCTCTTAGCAGTCCATGGTATATTCAATACTCTTCTCCAGCACCACAGTTCAAAGGCATAAATTTCCTTCTATCCTCCCTAGTCATTGTCCAGTTCTTTGGTGCATAGCAAGTGATTGCAAAGACCATGGCCTGTATCAAGCATATCTTACTCTCCAGACTGATATCTTGGTTCTTCAATACTTTGGAGAGGTCTCTGACAGGAGACTTTCCCAGTGCAATTCATCTTTTAATTTCCTGGCAGCTGATACCAAGAGTGCCAATTGTGGAGCCAAGCAAACTAAAGCTGTTAACAATCTCAATCTCTTCACTATCTATTATGACGCTGCTGATCAGCTCACTGGTAAGAATCTTTGTTTTCTTAATTTTGAGCTTCAATGCATATGCTTTCTTTTTAAAAAATAAATATTTTTACTCTAAATGTTGCACTAGAGCACCAAAATGCCAAAGCAAAGAAAGAAATCCAGAAATTAAGGAGCTGAACAGAAGATTTCAAAGGACACCACAGGAAGACAAAATGAAGTATTAAAATGTGCAATGAACTGGAGTAAAAAAAAAACAAACACAAAAGGGCTGAACTCACTCAGCATTTCTTTAGATTAATGAATTGAAGAATAAATTCAAGCCTCAAGTTGCAATATTTAAGGATGCTTTGGGCAGAACATTAAATTATCAAGGAAACATTAAAAGAAGATGAAAGGAGTATACAAAGTCACTGTACCAAAGGGAATAGGCTGACATAGAAAAATTTCATGAAACATTGTATGAACAAGAGCCTGTGGTGATAAGGGGG